GGGACGTGCCCTTTGCGATCGCCATCTCTACGGGACGGCTTAGGTCCATCAGGACCGTCCGGGGGAGGAGATATCGGCTGCCATCCTGGGAGCCCAGGATCGCCCGCCGTATCGACGCGACGCCAGCTCCGCCCTCTCCGGTCGGCTGGACATGTTGATTACCCATTCTGGTTCAGATACCTCTTTGTTTCTGGGATTTAGTTTGAGCAGTTTAGTTTGAAGTTTTGTTTTTCTTTTCTCAGCTCGTTTTAGGGATGTGGTGGTTGTCAGTATATTTGTATGCTCTGGGGTCATGGTTTGTTCCAGTTGTCAATAAAAACAGACAAAATAATGAATAAAAAGACATATTCTAAAACACATAAAGCATTAACACATCAATTAAAATAAAGTTCATTTTTTAACAAGCAATCTGCCCTGGAGCAGTACCTTGTTCTTAGGTTTGGAAAGGATCAGAAAGTCTTGCAGTCCAATCTATTTCTTTAAAACAGGAATTGCCATCCAGCACTCTTTCACACTGCAAACCTCTTACCTCTATACCAGAAATGAAAAGCTACCTCTCTAATTGGGGACTATGAATTCTGGGAGTTTTAGTCCCACCACATTTAAGAACATCAGGCTGGGAAAGACTGCTCTAAACCAAAGCAGAAATTCAAAAGTCAGTATTACCAGCTCATCTTCATCATCATCATTATTATTAGGAGTATCTCCTATAATCAGCTCTTATATTCATCTCAGCAGTGTAGCACCTGGAAGAGCTGATAAATGTGACACAAACATCATGCAAACCCAAATTCAACCCTAAAATTATTTTAAATGTGATTGCAATGCACCATTCATGACAACCACTCTCATTATCTCATCTGCAGATTCTGACACTGAAATTAGTGCCTGGCTGAAGTAAATGACTAGAAGGCAGCAAGGACCATTCATTCTTCCAAATGATCATTAATCCCCAAGAAATACCAAGCTGTTCAATTGTTAGTGCTGGAATTTTGCAGCTGTCAGTTAATGTATTAGCATAAACCTCTCCCTATTTTGCTAATTTGAGGGGGAAGGCTTAGAGACACCAGGCATTAACAGTACTTGCTTTAACCACCTCCACATACATTCTGACCTCTCAAGCTCCCCCAACCCTTCTGGCAGTCCTTAAAGAGCTGGCTCTTCCCCCAGGCATTGGGCTAAGGTAAGACTGGAGCCCAGTAAATGTGGAAGTTCAGGTGCAGGGCAGTCTTGCTTTGGAGTCCCAAGAATTGTTTCGACGTTGGTTGTATGGTCATTTTATGTTTTATTGCATCCTTGTGTATAACGCCCAGGGTTATTGTATATAAGCTGAGTGGCTGTGCATGTCTTTTAACATAAATAAAATAAATACAAAATTCCACTGGTTGGAATATTCACGGATCATGGGACAGAAACTTTACATCAGGGTATCTTGCTATGTGGCACTTAAACTCAGCAAGGTAATAAAGAGCAGACTACCTTGAAATGTATTATTTGCCAAAACATCTCTGAAAAGAAAATGAAGTAAAAAACATTTACCTGTCGGACTTGCTAACATTAACTATTGGGCCTGAATGATTTACAGATGCATGCTATCATAGGAGAGTCCAAGGCAATCTCCCTTTAGCCTTTCTTTCTTCAGATTGATTTCGTTCTTTGCATCATTACTATTCAAATTCAGACCCCTGCTTCCTGGTGCAACTCATGTTCCTGCCCTCGGTGAATTGCCAGCTCCATCATAATCTGCATCTAGTTCTTATAATCTAATCATGCATTCATAAAATACTACCTGCTCTTCTTGGGAAAGCTGCTTACCATTTTTAATGCAGTCCAAAGCCCTGATCCTGCAAAGCACACTGATTGCCAGCTGTTTTTTCTTGACCTGCTCAGCCCTGTTCCCCATGTATTTATTTTAGTATGAGAATCGAGCTTACTATGATGCTATGAAAATAGATAACCTTATAGTTGCACATTTCTCAGAGGAACAACAGATATATTCCTAGCTTCTAATACTGATAACTGAACTTGCTACATCATCAGGACCAAGATATCAGTCTATTTCACCGATCCCTCTCTATTCAGGGTGAGGCTAAGACAGGTTCTTGAGTTTATGCTTTCTGCTCCATCTGCTGCATACAAAATATGATCCCTGAATCAGGAAATTCTGTATTTAGAAGACAGTGCATGGATTCAGAAGACATGGTCATACATTCAATATGAATGTAAGTTTGGGTAATTCATACCACTCATTGAAGAGGAAGGAAAAAATCTGATCTTTGCTTCCAATCTTATTGTTTTTTTGGGGGGGGGGTCGGCCGTTCAAGTCAGTGTTGACTCTTGGTGATGCATGG